GGGGAATTCCCTGTGAGCTCGCTGCTCTGAGCCGGTGCAACCACAGAAACTTGACACGCGGTGCCGCAGTACTGTCATGCGTGTACCACACGATGCTTCCCTATCCTCCCTCAGGTATCGGACTTAAAATATGCCTCTCCAGCAACGGTTTCGCGTTGTGGAATGGTTTACGTGGACCAGAGGGACCTCGGCAGCTCACCCTATTACGATGCTTGGGCAAGAAGCAAGTCAAGTGAGCAGCTATTGGAGGTTTTGGACTACTTGTGGGAAAAGTATGTCCCACAGTGCCTGGCTTTTATTCTGAACGAAAAAGGGAGAGACGACGAGGCTCCTTTGCCTGCTAAGTGCATACATCGAACGGACGTCAGCATGGTAAGATTCGCAAGGACAGCTCCAGACCAGTGCACTGCAAAGACTGGTGAGAATGGAGGACGCGCGGTTGGTGGAGCAGTCACAAAATGCGGGCGCGAAGCTTGTTTGACTTTCTGCTCACCAAACAGGTTGCGCAGCTCTGCAAAGTCATGGATATTATGGTGCCAGACGCTCTTTACGCAGAGCCAAACCCAGAAAAGCTAGAAAACGCGTTCCTCTTCGCCTTGGTCTGGTCGCTCGGAGCGACTCTGAAGGGAGAGGAGCAACCGCGACTGGATGTACTTTTGAAGACTCTCTCAGGCAAAGCGTCTATAAGCCAAAGTCTATTTGATAGCTTTTATGACCTGCAGGCAAACTCTTGGCTTTCGTGGGAGTCTAAGGTTAGCGGTCTACGATAAATATTCCTGTCCCTAAGATGCCTTTTTCCCCAGCTGTCGACTATTGCAAAACGTCTGGTCATGCGTATCATTTTTCCCATCTCGTAGTCAAACTGTCCAGCATTCTGTTGGATGTTTTGAGTTCTCATCAGGTTCCCCAGTACAGTCCAGAAGCGGGTATATCTTTTACGAACATTTTTGTCCCGACTACTGACACAGTCCGGGCAATGTGGCTTTTGCAAGGCTTTGCTTCAAAAGCGCTTCCCACCCTTTTTATTGGAGAGTCAGGTCAGTTACGCATACCCAACAGAATCTTCTTCTTGTCTGGATAGGCATACGTAGAATGCATGAGATTTGATCAACGCAAAGCATGTTGTACTGAGTTGAGCGAACTAACCAGCTAAGCTGACCGACGAAGTTCAAGATGCTGTGCTTTCGTCGAACTTAAGGTACTGCTAAATCTATGATGACGAAGGGTTGGCTGAATACCCTTGACAACGAGGAATTCCTGCAACTGCAAATGAACTTCAGTAGTAGGACCAGTTCTCTTGATTTTCAAAAGGCCTTGGAAGATAACATTGACAAAAGGATAGGTCGCGTCTATGGGCCCCCTTCTGGAAAAATACTCAAGGTGTTTCTGGATGATCTCAACATGCCGACGGTTAGTAAATACGGGACATTCCATCTGGATTATTCAACAGAGAGTACACTTGTTGTGGTTTTTCAGAGGATTACGCAAACCTCAATGAGCGCAACTGATTGGCCGTCGAACAGCGGTTACTGGTGTTTGCTTAGGTTGACATTTACGGCACTCAGCAACCTATAGCCCTGCTAAAATTTGTGATGGAAAGGATGTTCTTCTACGAACGAGGCAAAGATCTTGAGAAGATTATCCTGAAAGATGTCC